CATGAAGATGCCTCAGAACAAGAGAAGAAGGAGATGGATGTAATGATTGAAGATATTCTAGTTGTGGACCCTGTCGTTGATCTAAATGTAGATTTGAAGGCATCAATAGAGGTTGATGAGAAGACGAATGTGTTTGAAGTGGAGGTTATACGCAGACGTGAGGTTTTTGTGTACCGATTTGAGGGAGCGGGTGATGAATATCCCATCTTAGCTTCGTACCGATTGATTACAACCAAAAAAGACTACAAGCTAAGGTGGACCGTGACATATTGCAGTGCTATCCATGCCTTGGTTGCAATTGAAGTGATAGAGCTCATGGATGGATGCGCAATCTACAAGGCTTTGGATTGGACATAACAATTTCAAGAAGCAAAGTCTGGCTGAAGACTTAAAATTTAGCGCTTCTCGGGAGGCAACCCGAGCTTTACTGTTTTTCAAATTTTTCTTTAATTTTATGTTTTATTTTTATTTTCATAGGCATGCATTCTAATTAATTTATTTAATTTCTTATTTTTAAGGTCGGAATTGCGATCGGGACGGTCATCCGAGAGACATAGAGGGCATCTTCGCAAGAGGAAAATCAGATTTCTTTCCACAAATTCTCACACCCCGAAGACAACGATTCCGACTTATTCAGGTGTATTCTATCCTTAAACTTCGTGTTAATTACATTGAGGGCAATGTAAATTTTAAGTTTGGGGGTGGAAAATTACTTGTTTTTATGTGCTTTAATTTTTTAGTTTGCATGCCTTAAGTTTTTTTTTTATTTGAGTTATTTTATTTTAGTTTTTTTTCTTTCGAAAAAAAAAAAAATTGCTTGAGATAAATGCTTCGATGAATCATGATGATGAAAGATGGTCGATGTTTAATGATGAAATTGCTTGTTTTATCTTGATTTTGTTCGAATTTTGGTGAGCTTTTGATTCAAAGTGTCGTAAGAAGGAGTCATTGTTAGGAATCACGAATTATGCCTTGCTTTGGTTGAAAGTTTTGTGTTTTAAAACGTGGAATTAATTTATGCTATATCATATGCTATTCGGTTTTAGAACTTGCCTTAGGAATTTACATAAGTGAAATATTAAATTGTTGAGCAATTTGGGAAGTGATTTGGGCCATCTTTGAACCGTTTGAGCCTTTCAAGCCTACCTTTAAATTTGTATCATTCGAACCTTGATTGAGCCTTGGAGAAACGGTGTTCTTTCTTTTAGCCAATGTGTATAAGGTAGAATAAGTGGAGATTTTGGAAAAATTAACCCTTGAAGTTCGGTCGAAATTTTTATAAGGTCCTTCTTCTTTTTCCCCGAAAAAAAAAAAAAAGGAAAAAAAAAAAAAAAAAAAAAGAGAAAAAAAAGA